ATCAAAACAATGTCTAAATTTTGTAATAATTTTTCAATATGTTGTATAAATATATACCTTTAAAATAAAACATAATACAATTCAATTTCAAAATATTAAACAAAAATATAAGCTTTTTTAAAGTGCCTGTCTGTGAGCCCAAAATTACGAAAAATAGGAAATATCATTGTGACTTATTTTTACAAGAAACATCTATGAAATATATTAAAAAATAAATGAAATACATGAAATAAATGTAATAAAAATACATGAAATGTACAATAGAAAATTTAAAAGCTTTTATAAAAATAATTTGCTACTTAAATCAATATCTAAAATAAAATAAAGTAAAACAAATTTATGCTAAAATGTATTATTTTTTCAAAACAGGTTTGTTTTAAAATTGGCCTGCGCCATAAGTCATTCCTTCTCTCCTCCTAGCTAATAACTCTTTTTTTATGTATTGCTTTTTTAATAAGTTTAAGAGCCAGCTTATTACTGGCATTTTGACGACGTTTTCTAAATTTTTGTTTTCGACAATCTAAGATAGTAGCAAGTTGTTTCGTTGAACCTCCAGTAGCTACACCTAATGCTTTCTGTGTTTCTACAATGGTGCGTACTGTACCCTTATTGTATTCGCAGACAGCTTCTGTTACTGCCCGCTTAACACGTCTTTTGTTTACGAAAATTTCTTTCGGACACTTTGCCCAAATCATGCTATGCAAACTTTCGTTTGCATTTTGTGTTCCACATCGAATGCATCTTTCTAACAATTCATTAGATGCAAGTCTTTGATAAATCGGTAGAATTTTTGGAAGAAACTTTTCATTTATTGGTGTTCCTACATTTAATTTATGATTGTTAGGTTTTTCCCCATTAGCAATCGCAGATTGGTAGAAACACCATGAGTTTTCTCCTGCAGGACACTTCGAATGTTGAGGTTTAGCATCTGTAGAAATGCTATGCAACAATGTAGCATATATTGCTGTTTTCATAGCATTCACATCCCCTTTGTTTCTCAAAATAGCCTTTTGGTAGTAAGTAGTTAATTTTTTAATCGTGGCTTCTTTCAAACTACCATGAGCTTTACCACCTAAAGAAATACCTTGAGCACGACAGTCTTTTACAGTAGATCTCAAAGCTGTTCCTAACCGCTTACTAACATGATTAATACATTCTTCCTTTTTTATCACAATGTCAGGTCCATACACTTTTTTCTCGCACAAGTAGTTAAACGTTTTACAATCACCATCGGATAATACTGTAATATAACGGAATCCAAGTGATGTGGATCTTTTCCACAAGGTTAATGCAGCTTCCATTTCCATTGATGTAGATGAGCCCAAGTGATTTATATCACATTCGCTTTTATGTCCTTCATACCATATGCTGAATTCAGCACTTGACTGGCCTAGCTTATTTTTTGCCACAGAGCAATGACGACACACCTTACTCATCACTTCAAAGTCAACAACATATCCGGTGAGCATATCTATAACACATCCTACACCGATAAGTGAGGTGTGACCACGAGTTAGCCACGTTCCATCAAAACTAACACTTAAGTCTGTGATTTCAGCTCCATTCTCGTACACATTTTTAATTTCTCGGTGGATTTCCGCAAATATGTTTTCAGATGCCAGAGTATATGCATTATCCAGCCGTCTCGCACACTTCCCATATGTAGTTGATGAAAAAGGATCTATATTCATCACCATACAAAATTTTTCTATAGCTGAATAACCTTTCCCAATATGTGAAAAAGCTTGAGTTATTCTCAAATTCACATCATGGCTGGTCTGAACAGACTTTAGAGATGTGTTTACAACAGTTTTGTTTTCATCACAATTGCTACACAATAGTTTTAAATTGTATGAAAATCCCAACTTGGCTCCAAGCTCCAGTTTCAAAGTTTGTTTTTCACAATATTGGCACTTTGCACTTCGAAGAAGATTGTTAACTTGGTTAAAGTCCACCAATATATAATTTCCAATAGCAGAGGTATCCTTTTTTACCACAGTGTTCAATTTTTCCAGGCGTACATTTGAAAAAACTGAATTTTTGTTCACTTCACAATCAACTTTCGCTTTACACCATCGCTTTTCATTCATTTGCAAAGCACGTACTGAACGTTTTCTAAGAGGCATAATTGAGATAAGAAATAATAAAATGAATGAATGTATGATTGAAGTAGCATTAAAAATTATGATTGAAGTAGCATTAAAAAATGCTGTTTTAGGTTTCTATGAAGTTAAAAACTAATGAAACTAAAAATCACACAGCAAGCGAAAATGGCAAAGCTAATGTAAATAAACAACTTTGCTGATAGTTACAGTCACAGCTTAACGGATTCCTCTGCTTCTCTGTAGTTTTTAATGTAAAATAATGGATTTATTCTAAAAAAAGTAAAAAAAAATAAATTTATTTAAAAAAATGTAAACATTGAGGTGGGCAAGGCATTTAAACTGCTGACAGAGCTGTCAAAATATTTAAAATGCATTTTACTGCGTTTAAAATAATCAGATCGTTTCAAAACTTCCCTCAATTGTACCAAAGGTATCAAACTACATTTTAAACTAAAAATTGAAAAATCGATATTTTCATCGATTTTAGGTTTTTGAAAGGTGCCAAGTCCTAAGATTTATTTAAAGAAAACGGTTTGAGAACTGGTCAAAGAATTAACGAAATTTTGTATTCAATTTGGATGTATAATTTATTTAAAAAAATAAAAGTCATGTTTGCGGTCAGTGTTTGACCAATGGCTAAGCAAGCGTGTTTTTGTTTTATTGGGACTGAAGATGTCGAAGAATTTCTGGTATCTTACTGTTTAGTCCACTCCACTTCCCATTGTTTCCATTGTCAGTGCTTCACTATATAGCTGCTCCCATTTAGCTCTTTAACTCAAGTTGTCATCCGATATTTGGGTGCGGGAAAAAGGAGCTCTGCAATCATTCATCGTATTCTGGAACCTGTTCTCAATTATTCCGCCACAAACTAATTGCGAACAGCTTTCTTGTTTCGTCCGCAAAAAAATTTTTTTTTTACGACAAGTGGTAAAAAGAAAATTTCTGCGGTAAATTCCTGTCGTCGAATGTGGAAGAATAAATGCTATGAACACTTATTTATGGTCATTTTTAGGTAATAAGAGTAATTATTATTTTTTCCTTCTATTTATCCTTATTTTTTTTAAAAAATGTGACATAATTGTTTTTAAATTCATTTTTTATTTTTTTTTATGATTTTTAATTTTATTTATTGTTAGATTCATGTCGAAACATATGTAATGATAGAATTAATTAATTAGATTGCGAATAACAGGAAACGAATGACATGCTTGTAGTTAGAAAAACAAATTACACAATTTATCAGATTGAGAGGAAAGGAGGATATTTATTTTCCTTCTCCTTTTCCCTGCTTGATGGATGTGAGGGTGTATATCGGTCATTGCTCTTTTTATTTATAACTGTTATAATTCGCGTACATAAATAAGAGAGCGTATGGGTTGTAAATCTTGTTTTCGAGTGACATTGAGTCCTTTATTTATTTATTTATTGCTTTTCGAGTTCAATTTCGAAATATTTGTTTGTTGCGATCATGAAATTTTTAGCTGTGACTTTTTTTAAATTTATGAATTGTTTTCATGCTGTTCGCAATTGCTGTAACTTGTAATTTTGTTAGGTTACATTAAATAAAAAACGTTGTTTAATATTATTTCCCGTGCATTTTATTGGAATTAAACGCTCGCTTTCTGCCAACGGCCATACCATGATGAAAACACCGGTTCTCGTCCGATCACCGAAGTTAAGCATCATCGGGCGCGGTTAGTACTTGGAAGGGTGACCACCTGGGATCACTGCGTGCTGTTGGCATATTTCATTTTAATTTAATTTTTAAAATATGTTTGTGTATTTTTTAAAGAAAACGGTTTGAACTGGTCAAAGAATTCGTTTCTTTTGTATTCTTTGATTGTATACTATATTTTAAAAAAATAAAAGTCATGTATGCGGTCAGTGTTTGACCAATGGCTAAGCAAGCGTGTAATTGTCCTGTGTTGGGACTGAAGATGTCGAAGAATTTCTGGTATCTTACTGTTTAGTCCACTCCACTTCCCATTGTTTCCATTGTCAGTGCTTCAATATACCTTTCCCATTTAGCTCTTTAACTCAAGTTGTCATCCGATATTTGGGTGCGGGAAAAAGGAGCTCTGCAATCATTCATCGTATTCTGGAACCTGTTCTCAATTATTCCGCCACAAACTAATTGCGAACAGCTTTCCATCGTTTCGGTTTGTTCGTCCGCAAGAAAGTTTTCCTTTTTTACGACAAGTGGTAAAAAGAAAATTTCTGCGGTAAATTCCTGTCGTCGAATGTGGAAGAATAAATGCTAAGAACACTTATTTATGCCTTAGGTAGTAAGAGTAATTATTATTTTTTCCTTCTATTTAACCTTATTTTTTTTAAAAAAAGTGTGATGTCTCTATTTTTGATTATTTTTATTTTTTTATATGATTTTTTAATTTTATTTATTGTTAGATTCATGTCGAAACATATGTAATGATAGAATTAATTAATTAGATTGCGAATAACAGGAAACGAATGGCATGCTTGTAGTTAGAAAAACAAATTGCGCAATTTATCAGATTGAGAGGAAAGGGGGATATTTATTGCCTTTTCCTTCTCCTTTTCCCTGCTTGATGGATGTGAGGGTGTATATCGGTCATTGCTCTTTTTATTTATAACTGTTATAATTCCGGTACATAAATAAGAGAGCGTATGGGTTGTAAATCTTGTTTTCGAGTTACCTTGAGTCCTTTATTTATTGCTTTTCTAGTTCGATTTCGAAATATTTGTTTGTTGCGATCATGAAATTTTTAGCTGTAACTTTTTTTAAATTTATGAATTGTTTTCATGCTGTTCGCAATTGCTGTAACTTGTAATTTTGTTAGGTTACATTAAATAAAAAACGTTGTTTAATATTATTTCCCGTGCATTTTATTGGAATTAAACGCTCGCTTTCTGCCAACGGCCATACCATGATGAAAACACCGGTTTCGTCCGATCAAAAAAGTTAACATCATCGGGCGCGGTTAAACCTGAAAGGGTGACCACCTGGGAACACTGCGTGCCGTTGGCATATTTCTTTTTAATTTAATTTTTAAAATATGTTGGTGTGTTTTAAGGGGACTCGGCACCTTTTTTCAATTTTTTTTTATTTAAAGGTTTTAAAATATTTTTTTGTATATTATTAACAGTTACTACTAAACTAAGAAATTTCACCATGAAAAAAATTCCTAAATTTAAAAAAAAATTTAAAATTTAAAGTTTTTAAAATTTTTTTACCGATTTTCAAAATTCTTCTTCTTTTACAATTATCATTATTTTGACACCAAAATTTTTTTTGGGATTTATTAGACTATGAGTAATAACTTTAGGGATCGATTTTGCAACAAACAAATTAGTTTTGGAAAAAAAAAAATAAAATGTAAACATTAATGGAAAAAAAGCTAAAAAAACATGACTTCTGCTACATTTTCTTTTATAAAATTTTTTTTATTCAAAATATTAAAAAATGGATCCCTAATTTAATTAAGCACATTGTAATAAAGATACACACCAAAATTCAAGTTGTTTGATAAATATCTGTAGAAGTTTTGTACTTTTAAAGACCATGATTTCATGAAAAAACTCGAACTGAGAAAATGCATTTTTAAGAATACCAATCAGCAAATATATATCAAAACAATGTCTAAATTTTGTAATAATTTTTCAATATGTTGTATAAATATATACCTTTAAAATAAAACATAATACAATTCAATTTCAAAATATTAAACAAAAATATAAGCTTTTTTTAAAGTGCCTGTCTGTGAGCCCAAAATTACGAAAAATAGGAAATATCATTGTGACTTATTTTTACAAGAAACATCTATGAAATATATTAAAAAATAAATGAAATACATGAAATAAATGTAATAAAAATACATGAAATGTACAATAGAAAATTTAAAAGCTTTTATAAAAATAATTTGCTACTTAAATCAATATCTAAAATAAAATAAAGTAAAACAAATTTATGCTAAAATGTATTATTTTTTCAAAACAGGTTTGTTTTAAAATTGGCCTGCGCCATAAGTCATTCCTTCTCTCCTCCTAGCTAATAACTCTTTTTTATGTATTGCTTTTTTAATAAGTTTAAGAGCCAGCTTATTACTGGCATTTTGACGACGTTTTCTAAATTTTTGTTTTCGACAATCTAAGATAGTAGCAAGTTGTTTCGTTGAACCTCCAGTAGCTACACCTAATGCTTTCTGTGTTTCTACAATGGTGCGTACTGTACCCTTATTGTATTCGCAGACAGCTTCTGTTACTGCCCGCTTAACACGTCTTTTGTTTACGAAAATTTCTTTCGGACACTTTGCCCAAATCATGCTATGCAAACTTTCGTTTGCATTTTGTGTTCCACATCGAATGCATCTTTCTAACAATTCATTAGATGCAAGTCTTTGATAAATCGGTAGAATTTTTGGAAGAAACTTTTCATTTATTGGTGTTCCTACATTTAATTTATGATTGTTAGGTTTTTCCCCATTAGCAATCGCAGATTGGTAGAAACACCATGAGTTTTCTCCTGCAGGACACTTCGAATGTTGAGGTTTAGCATCTGTAGAAATGCTATGCAACAATGTAGCATATATTGCTGTTTTCATAGCATTCACATCCCCTTTGTTTCTCAAAATAGCCTTTTGGTAGTAAGTAGTTAATTTTTTAATCGTGGCTTCTTTCAAACTACCATGAGCTTTACCACCTAAAGAAATACCTTGAGCACGACAGTCTTTTACAGTAGATCTCAAAGCTGTTCCTAACCGCTTACTAACATGATTAATACATTCTTCCTTTTTTATCACAATGTCAGGTCCATACACTTTTTTCTCGCACAAGTAGTTAAACGTTTTACAATCACCATCGGATAATACTGTAATATAACGGAATCCAAGTGATGTGGATCTTTTCCACAAGGTTAATGCAGCTTCCATTTCCATTGATGTAGATGAGCCCAAGTGATTTATATCACATTCGCTTTTATGTCCTTCATACCATATGCTGAATTCAGCACTTGACTGGCCTAGCTTATTTTTTGCCACAGAGCAATGACGACACACCTTACTCATCACTTCAAAGTCAACAACATATCCGGTGAGCATATCTATAACACATCCTACACCGATAAGTGAGGTGTGACCACGAGTTAGCCACGTTCCATCAAAACTAACACTTAAGTCTGTGATTTCAGCTCCATTCTCGTACACATTTTTAATTTCTCGGTGGATTTCCGCAAATATGTTTTCAGATGCCAGAGTATATGCATTATCCAGCCGTCTCGCACACTTCCCATATGTAGTTGATGAAAAAGGATCTATATTCATCACCATACAAAATTTTTCTATAGCTGAATAACCTTTCCCAATATGTGAAAAAGCTTGAGTTATTCTCAAATTCACATCATGGCTGGTCTGAACAGACTTTAGAGATGTGTTTACAACAGTTTTGTTTTCATCACAATTGCTACACAATAGTTTTAAATTGTATGAAAATCCCAACTTGGCTCCAAGCTCCAGTTTCAAAGTTTGTTTTTCACAATATTGGCACTTTGCACTTCGAAGAAGATTGTTAACTTGGTTAAAGTCCACCAATATATAATTTCCAATAGCAGAGGTATCCTTTTTTACCACAGTGTTCAATTTTTCCAGGCGTACATTTGAAAAAACTGAATTTTTGTTCACTTCACAATCAACTTTCGCTTTACACCATCGCTTTTCATTCATTTGCAAAGCACGTACTGAACGTTTTCTAAGAGGCATAATTGAGATAAGAAATAATAAAATGAATGAATGTATGATTGAAGTAGCATTAAAAATTATGATTGAAGTAGCATTAAAAAATGCTGTTTTAGGTTTCTATGAAGTTAAAAACTAATGAAACTAAAAATCACACAGCAAGCGAAAATGGCAAAGCTAATGTAAATAAACAACTTTGCTGATAGTTACAGTCACAGCTTAACGGATTCCTCTGCTTCTCTGTAGTTTTTAATGTAAAATAATGGATTTATTCTAAAAAAAATGTAAAAAAAAATAAATTTATTTAAAAAAATGTAAACATTGAGGTGGGCGTGGCATTTAAACTGCTGACAGAGCTGTCAAAATATTTAAAATGCATTTTACTGCGTTTAAAATAATCAGATCGTTTCAAAACTTCCCTCAATTGTACCAAAGGTATCAAACTACATTTTAAACTAAAAATTGAAAAATCGATATTTTCATCGATTTTAGGTTTTTGAAAGGTGCCAAGTCCTCTTAAAGAAAACGGTTTGAGAACTGGTCAAAGAATTCGTTTCTTTTGTATTCTTTGGATGTATAATTTATTTAAAAAAAATAAAAGTCATACGTAATTGCGGTCAGTGTTTGACCAATGGCTAAGTTTCATTAAAAAAATATTTTTGGTTTTATTTTAAAGAGAAAAGTTTGTAAAAAATGTTTTGTATTGGGACTGAAGATGTCGAAGAATTTTGGTATCTTACTGTTTAGTCCACTCCACTTCCCATTGTTTCCATTGTCAGTGCTTCACTATATAGCTGCTCCCATTTAGCTCTTTAACTCAAGTTGTCATCCGATATTTGGGTGCGAAAAACAGCTCTGCAATCATTCATCGTATTCTGGAACCTGTTCTCAATTATTCCGCCACAAACTAATTGCGAACAGCTTTTGACGCGTTTCGTCCGCAAGAAATTTTTCCTTTTTTACGACAAGTGGTAAAAAGAAAATTTCTGCGGTAAATTTGTCGTCGAATTGGAAGAATAAATGCTATGAATTTTCTTATTTACCTTAGGTAATAAGAGTAATTATTATTTTTTTCCTTCTATTTATCCTTATTTTTTAAAAAAAATGTGATGTCTCTATTTTTCATTATTTTTTATTTTTTTAAATGATTTTTTAATTTTATTTATTGTTAGATTCATGTCGAAACATATGTAATGATAGAATTAATTAATTAGATTGCGAATAACAGGAAACGAATGACATGCTTGTAGTTAAAAAAACAAAACACAATTTATCAGATTATTGAGAGGAAAGGAGGATATTTATTGCCTTTTGATGTTTTTCTCCTTTTCCCTACGCTTGATGGATGTGAGGGTTTATATCGGTCATTGCTAATTTTATTTATAACTGTTATAATTCGCGTACATAAATAAAAGAGAGCGTATGGGTTGTAAATCTTGTTTTCGAGTGACCTTGAGTCCTTTATTTATTTATTTATTGCTTTTCGAGTTCAATTTCGAAATATTTGTTTGTTGCGATCATGAAATTTTTAGCTGTGACTTTTTTTTAAATTTATGAATTGTTTTCATGCTGTTCGCAATTGCTGTAACTTGTAATTTTGTTAGGTTACATTAAATAAAAAACGTTGTTTAATATTATTTCCCGTGCATTTTATTGGAATTAAACATTCGCTTTTTTTTTGCCAACGGCCATACCATGATGAAAACACCGGTTCTCGTCCGATCACCGTAAAGTTAAGCATCATCGGGCGCGGTTAATACTTCAAAAGGGTGACCACCTGGGATCACTGCGTGCTGTTGGCATATTTCATTTTAATTTAATTTTTAAAATATGTTTCATGTATATTTTTAAAGAAAACGGTTTGAACTGGTCAAAGAATTCGTTTTTTTGTATTCTTTTTGTATACTTTATTTTAAAAAATAAAAGTCATTGCGGTCAGTGTTTGACCAATGGCTAAGCAAGCGTGTAATTGTCCTATGTTGGGACTGAAGATGTCGAAGAATTTCTGGTATCTTACTGTTTAGTCCACTCCACTTCCCATTGTTTCCATTGTCAGTGCTTCACTTTATTACCTCGAACAAAATACATTTTTCATTTTTAACTCAAGTTGTCATCCGATATTTGGGTTCGGGAAAAAAGCTCTGCAATCATTCATTATTTTATTCTGGAACCTGTTCTCAATTATTCCGCCACAAACTAATTGCGAACAGCTTTCGTTTCGTCCACTTCATAGAAAATTTTCCTTTTACGACAAGTGGTAAAAGAAAATTTCATTCAAATGCGGTAAATTCTAATGTCGTCGAATGTGGAAGAATAAATGCTAAGAACACTTATTTATGCCGTAGGTTGTAAGAGTAATTATTATTTTTTCCTTCTATTTAAATTTTTCAAAAAAAGTGTGATGTCTCTATTTTTGATTATTTTTATTTTTTTTATGATTTTTTAATTTTATTTATTGTTAGATTCATGTCGATACATATGTAATGATAGTAAATTAATTAATTAAAATTGCGAATAACAGGAAACGAATGGCATGCTTTTTAAAAAAACAAATTGCGCAATTTATCAGATTTGAGAGGAAAGGGGGATATTTATTGCCTTTTCCTTCTCCTTTAAAATGCTTGATGGATGTGAGGGTGTATATCGGTCATTGCTCTTTTTATTTATAACTGTTATAATTCCGGTACATAAATAAAGAAGCGTATGGGTTGTAAATCTTGTTTTCGAGTGACCTTGAGTCCTTTATTTAAAATTGCTTTTCTAGTTCGATTTCGAAATATTTGTTTGTAAAAATCATGAAATTTTTAGCTGTAACTTTTTTAAATTTTTGAATTGTTTTCATGCTGTTCGCAATTGCTGTAACGGTAATTTTGTTAGGTTACATTAAATAAAAAACGTTGTTTAATATTATTTCGTAAAATTTTAAAATTAAACGCTCGCTTTCTGCCAACGTCCATACCATGATGAAAACACCGGTTCTCGTCCGATCACCGAATTTAAGCATCATCGGGCGCGGTTAGTACTGGGAGGGTGACCAAAAAATGGGTTCACTGCGTTTCATATTTCAATTTTAATTTAATTTTAAAAATATTTGGTGTGTTTTAAGGGGACTCGGCACCTTTTTTCAATTTTTTTTTTATTTAAGGGTTTTAAAATATTTTTTTTTGTATATTATTAACAGTTACTACTAAACTAAGAAATTTCAACATGAAAAAAATTCCTAAATTTAAAAAAAAAAAATTTAAAATTTAAAGTTTTTAAAATTTTTTTTACCGATTTTCAAAATTCTTCTTCTTTTACAATTATCATTATTTTGACACCAAAATTTTTTTTGGGATTTATTAGACTATGAGTAATAACTTTAGGGATCGATTTTGCAACAAACAAATTAGTTTTGGAAAAAAAAATAAAATGTAAACATTAATGGAAAAAAAGCTAAAAAAACATGACTTCTGCTACATTTTCTTTTATAAATTTTTTTTTATTCAAAATATTAAAAAATGGATCCCTAATTTAATTAAGCACATTGTAATAAAGATACACACCAAAATTCAAGTTGTTTGATAAATATCTGTAGAAGTTTTGTACTTTTAAAGACCATGATTTCATGAAAAAACTCGAACTGAGAAAATGCATTTTTAAGAATACCAATCAGCAAATATATATCAAAACAATGTCTAAATTTTGTAATAATTTTTCAATATGTTGTATAAATATATACCTTTAAAATAAAACATAATACAATTCAATTTCAAAATATTAAACAAAAATATAAGCTTTTTTTTTTTTTTAAAGTGCCTGTCTGTGAGCCCAAAATTACGAAAAATAGGAAATATCATTGTGACTTATTTTTACAAGAAACATCTATGAAATATATTAAAAAATAAATGAAATACATGAAATAAATGTAATAAAAATACATGAAATGTACAATAGAAAATTTAAAAGCTTTTATAAAAATAATTTGCTACTTAAATCAATATCTAAAATAAAATAAAGTAAAACAAATTTATGCTAAAATGTATTATTTTTTCAAAACAGGTTTGTTTTAAAATTGGCCTGCGCCATAAGTCATTCCTTCTCTCCTCCTAGCTAATAACTCTTTTTTATGTATTGCTTTTTTAATAAGTTTAAGAGCCAGCTTATTACTGGCATTTTGACGACGTTTTCTAAATTTTTGTTTTCGACAATCTAAGATAGTAGCAAGTTGTTTCGTTGAACCTCCAGTAGCTACACCTAATGCTTTCTGTGTTTCTACAATGGTGCGTACTGTACCCTTATTGTATTCGCAGACAGCTTCTGTTACTGCCCGCTTAACACGTCTTTTGTTTACGAAAATTTCTTTCGGACACTTTGCCCAAATCATGCTATGCAAACTTTCGTTTGCATTTTGTGTTCCACATCGAATGCATCTTTCTAACAATTCATTAGATGCAAGTCTTTGATAAATCGGTAGAATTTTTGGAAGAAACTTTTCATTTATTGGTGTTCCTACATTTAATTTATGATTGTTAGGTTTTTCCCCATTAGCAATCGCAGATTGGTAGAAACACCATGAGTTTTCTCCTGCAGGACACTTCGAATGTTGAGGTTTAGCATCTGTAGAAATGCTATGCAACAATGTAGCATATATTGCTGTTTTCATAGCATTCACATCCCCTTTGTTTCTCAAAATAGCCTTTTGGTAGTAAGTAGTTAATTTTTTAATCGTGGCTTCTTTCAAACTACCATGAGCTTTACCACCTAAAGAAATACCTTGAGCACGACAGTCTTTTACAGTAGATCTCAAAGCTGTTCCTAACCGCTTACTAACATGATTAATACATTCTTCCTTTTTTATCACAATGTCAGGTCCATACACTTTTTTCTCGCACAAGTAGTTAAACGTTTTACAATCACCATCGGATAATACTGTAATATAACGGAATCCAAGTGATGTGGATCTTTTCCACAAGGTTAATGCAGCTTCCATTTCCATTGATGTAGATGAGCCCAAGTGATTTATATCACATTCGCTTTTATGTCCTTCATACCATATGCTGAATTCAGCACTTGACTGGCCTAGCTTATTTTTTGCCACAGAGCAATGACGACACACCTTACTCATCACTTCAAAGTCAACAACATATCCGGTGAGCATATCTATAACACATCCTACACCGATAAGTGAGGTGTGACCACGAGTTAGCCACGTTCCATCAAAACTAACACTTAAGTCTGTGATTTCAGCTCCATTCTCGTACACATTTTTAATTTCTCGGTGGATTTCCGCAAATATGTTTTCAGATGCCAGAGTATATGCATTATCCAGCCGTCTCGCACACTTCCCATATGTAGTTGATGAAAAAGGATCTATATTCATCACCATACAAAATTTTTCTATAGCTGAATAACCTTTCCCAATATGTGAAAAAGCTTGAGTTATTCTCAAATTCACATCATGGCTGGTCTGAACAGACTTTAGAGATGTGTTTACAACAGTTTTGTTTTCATCACAATTGCTACACAATAGTTTTAAATTGTATGAAAATCCCAACTTGGCTCCAAGCTCCAGTTTCAAAGTTTGTTTTTCACAATATTGGCACTTTGCACTTCGAAGAAGATTGTTAACTTGGTTAAAGTCCACCAATATATAATTTCCAATAGCAGAGGTATCCTTTTTTACCACAGTGTTCAATTTTTCCAGGCGTACATTTGAAAAAACTGAATTTTTGTTAACTTCACAATCAACTTTCGCTTTACACCATCGCTTTTCATTCATTTGCAAAGCACGTACTGAACGTTTTCTAAGAGGCATAATTGAGATAAGAAATAATAAAATGAATTAATGTATGATTGAAGTAGCATTAAAAATTATGATTGAAGTAGCATTAAAAAATGCTGTTTTAGGTTTCTATGAAGTTAAAAACTAATGAAACTAAAAATCACACAGCAAGCGAAAATGGCAAAGCTAATGTAAATAAACAACTTTGCTGATAGTTACAGTCACAGCTTAACGGATTCCTCTGCTTCTCTGTAGTTTTTAATGTAAAATAATGGATTTATTCTAAAAAAAATGTAAAAAAAAATAAATTTATTTAAAAAAATGTAAACATTGAGGTGGGCGTGGCATTTAAACTGCTGACAGAGCTGTCAAAATATTTAAAATGCATTTTACTGCGTTTAAAATAATCAGATCGTTTCAAAACTTCCCTCAATTGTACCAAAGGTATCAAACTACATTTTAAACTAAAAATTGAAAAATCGATATTTTCATCGATTTTAGGTTTTTGAAAGGTGCTTCATTTAGTGGTTCAGCTTGGCCTATGCACACATTTCCTATCGGCCGAACAAAATTTCCATCCGCAACTTTCAGCATAACGCTCTTGGCATCAGCAAACAGAACTTTCTTTAAAAATCGGCGATACTTATCGGATATGACAGAAAACGATGCCCCAGAATCTACTAGAGCACGTATCGGCTTCTTATCTATTATTCCGTCTTCTTATCTATTATTCCGAGCTATGAGATCCCTTTAGAGCAATTTCATAGTAATGATGAAAAGTAACATAAAAAGCTCACATACATATTAAAGATGATTGCACATTATTTCCTAGTGTATACATATTAGAAGGCGAAAACGCCGACGCATAATAATGAAGCTTTTCAATTTCGAAGAAATATATGTGCATTGAATTAATATACATAAAACAGGTAATATAAAAAAACATTTAATGTCATTTCGTAATTCGTAAGATAAACGTACTCGTGCCATCTGTTAGAGCTAGTTGTAACCACGGCAGAAATAACACAAAATAAATTTAAAATTTAAAAAAAATTAAAATTTAATTAATGAATTAATATTTGAAAAAAATTTGTTAACATAGATGTCATTCTCTATAATTTAAAAAAAGATATTTGATTTTGAATGGATGAATAGAAAGTATTTTATTATCTTAACTCAGTGGTGCAGCAGCTCATGAAGGACAAGGCTTACTGTGCCCAACAAAGTACACACGACCTTGGGCCCTGATGTGCAAAAGCGAATGTTCCGGTCAGGTGGTCAGTCTGACGTGAAACCCGCAATGTTAAGTTCACATGGAAGCTTGGTGCTTATTTGTAGAACCACTGAAAGAATGATTCAACATTGTCCAGCCCAAGGTTTGAACCTCGGATCTGTGGTGAGGAAGAGCGATGCACTAACCACTCAGCCCCTGAGCTTCAAGTATTTTATCAACGATTAAAAATTTGAACAAGATACATACATACACTGAAGTGCCACTGAATTAGGGATACCTACCTAAAAATTAGTTGGGCCTCCTCTGGCCTTGATAACGGATGCCACACCACGAGCCACAAATTCAACATGTTTCTGGAAATGTTACACGAGGATGAGTTGACAAATGTTGGCTAATGCTATCTATGATTCCGTAAGGTTCGTTGGTGCTGTATGATGGCCTTTCACACCTTGTTCCAAACCATCCTAAAGATACTCAACAGAATTTAAGTCTGGGACTCTAGATGGTCAATTTGTGACAGAAAATTCAGAGGAATGCTCATTCAACCAGCCTGTAGCCAACCAGGACTTGTGAGAGATACATTTGCCTTGCTGAAAAACTCCATTACCGTGTGGATAATAGAAGAGCAAAAACGGATTTATGTGTTCACTCAGCCACTCTGCACACCGATTGCATTGATGGAGGTTGGTACACGCATCAAATATCCCAAATAATGCCACAAAAAATTTCCCCATACGATGATTAAGCCACCATGCCCTTGTACAATTCCAACCTGGAATGCAGGATCTATGTCTTCCTGAGCCTGACGCCATATTTTCAGCCTCTCGTCTTTCTTAAATAGTCAGAATCGGGACTCATCACTGCATGCTGCTCGTTTCCAGTCCTCTACACTCCAGTCTCTGTGTTCTCTTGCCCATGCAAGCCATGTAGCCCGATGGCGAGCATTGATTACTGGTTTTCTCGTAGGGCAACGGCCCCCGAAACCCATATGGTGAATTAAGTGTTGCACAGTCTATTTACTGACTGTAAGACTGGCAC